AGATTCGGTAAGCGATTGAATAAGAGCGTTTCTTCGCTGATTCGGCTAGGTTAATAGGTAGCTTGATTTTGGACAAGCATCATGTTAATCGGTTCAATATTATACTAACTTTTAAGGGATATTTTTGATTCAGTTTGGTGTACTTAAAATTTATTTAAAATATTATAGCTTTCAATATTTGTTCCTATTGTTGCTGGTATATTGCTCCCATGGTATTGTTGTTATTCTTTTTCCTGTTGCTGTGTGCTGCTGCTGTGGTTTTTCAGCTGTAGTTGTTGCCGCCTGTCGTTAATGCTCTTGTAGTTTCTCTGGTTATTGTTGTAGGCTATTATTGTTGTAGTGAGCGGCAGAGCCGACAACTGTTGGCTTGCCGTAATGTCGAGAGTGTTTAAAATGCATAAAAAGAAGGCAGCAGCAGCAGCAGCAATTTGTATGGATTTCATTTCAGCGAGCGGATGCATAAGCAATGAGCAGCGTGGATATTGTGTAGATAAACTTCCCAAACTACCATCGTCGTCCGCAGCGACAACAACAGAAACAACCTAAAATTCAACTTATTCAGATTCAGTTTGCCATAAGCCAAGTATGGCAAATTTAAATTTTCGTCATTTCAAATGGTTGTATTTGTTTTGACAGGTTCAGCTCTCTTATTATGATGATTGCTTATATAGAGTATTGTCCTATTTTGCTAATATCTAAAAGATACATTATATTTCTAGTTTTAAGATCTGTTTCTTCGATAATAAGATGCCAGGGCGCTATGCAAATCAATCGATCAATTTGATTGCCACACTGCAAACCGATAAGCGCAGGCAAAAGCATGGCCAACAATCAGCGATAACTTATCGCTCATCGCTATCTCCGGCATATCCCCATACTCCACTACATCCACTCTTCGCCGTCATCGCCGTAATATCCTACCCATGTATAATACCACTTATAAGCCCCTATGCTTATTTCAATTTCACCGTTTAACATATTTTTGCTCGTAATTAAATTATCGATTGCAACTACAGGAAAGCTACGGCAGAGTAATAATAAGCACCATGAGCATAAAATACGCCATACACACTGTATTCCACATATTCTCCATGTGCGTACGTGTTGTGTGTGTGCGGTGTGTGTGTGTTTTGTGTAAAAGGGGGCGAGAAGAGAAAACATGTCAAACAAAGCACAAAGCAAAAGCAAGAGCATGAGCAAAAAAAAATAAGGCAAAAGCAAAAAACGGAAACGCGAGGCACACACTGCTGGCCAAAAGGAAAATCGGCGATGAATTAACTTTGCAAAGCGTGTAACGGTATGTTGAATTGTTTGTTGTTTGTCTGTTTGTTTTCTCCTTTGGCTCTCCTCCGATGAAAGAAAGCAAACGAGCGGGCCGAAAGAAGAAGAAATAAAGAAAGCAACCTCGCTGATGATAGAGAGATAAATAGATTATATATGGCCGAGAACAGGTGGGCTTAAAAAAAACACAGAAACAGAAACAGGGGGCGTGGCGCCAGTTAACGTTTATAAGGAAGTGCTCGTGTGGGGAGGCCAAAAAGAAATCCCCTTTTAATGAAAACCAATCCTAAGATTTGGTAAAGGAAACATATATGGGTGCATAATTTAAATTTATTTCTGATTTTAGTATTTTAATATCATATTATTTCTTTGAACTAAAAACCTACTTTCAATTGATACATAAATAAAAAAAAAGTAAGCAAATGTCTCTGGTTTTTTTTTTAATTTCATGAATTCATGATATAAAAACCATATAGTTGTCACAAAATGCACAACATATGTTTCTTTAAACTAAAAAAAATTGCATACATATACATATATATTAAAAAAAAATCAAGTAAAAAAACAACAAAAAATAGGGTAAAAGACGTAGCGAATGTGTGGAAAAGGCAAGACGAAAATAATGACACACAGATACAAACAGACGTTTATGTGTTGGCAAAGTCTGAAGGTTTAGTGCACTGGATGTTGTTGTTGCTGGCATGTGCCCACAAAAAACAACAACAATTGCTTTGGCTATCATCGCCTCTTTGTTGTTGTTGTTGTTGCTGCTGTGGCTGCTTTTTTATATTTTTTGTTGCAAGTGGAACGTGATTATTTCAACGAGCGCAACGTTTTCTTGTTATTGTTGTTGTTGTTGTTTTTAGCGCACACCAACAGCAGATACAAAAATTAAAAAAATATAAAAAAAATTTCAGAGACAGACCAGCAAATGTCTGTTTGTATATATGTAAAAATTCCTATTCGCTGGCTTTGATTTCTTTCTGTATTTCTTTTATTTTTTTGCTCTTTTTTTGTTGTTTTTTTTCTTGTTTTGGCCGCGATGCGTGTGTGCAGCATTTGTGTTCCTGTATTTTATTATATTTTTTTCCCCGTTTTTTTGATTGATTAAGTGGAATGTTTGCTGTTATCTTTGGGGCTTCAATTGGTTATTGGTTGAATATTTAACATATCAATTGGGTTTCGTTTTTTTTATTTTGATTTTCTGTGATTTACCCAAACTGTAGATACATAATATTTGCTTGATTATGGCAGTATGTTCTTGGTAAATATGGGTTTTTGACTTTAAATCGGCTTTTTATTCACAATTATCTTTTACTTATTTGAAAGTATCTTTTGATTTTTGGATATTTGGATTTTCGAATTAACTGGGCCCTTTTCCTAATTGCTGGCCAAAACAAAAGAAATAATGTTGGAAAAATCCCAACTTTTTCCATTGTTTCCGTTGGGCTTCTCCTCTGTTTTTTTTTTAGTTTCGTTTTCGTGTCGCGTTTTTATGTCTCTGAGTATCTGCGTTTAGCTATGCTTCGCTTTTGCTTTGCTTTGGCTTTGCTTTTGCTTTGCTTTTTTGCTGCTATTTGCTTTTTGCTTTTCGCTTTGGGTTTTCTTTGGTTTTTGGCCTGAGCTTGGCCTGAATGTTGTGTTGGCTATGAAATATGCCGCTTTCCTTGTGTTCGTATCCGTATCTGCATCTGTATGTACGTCGTACTGCGTCTGTATATCCACAAGTATATTCGTATCTGTCGGATTGTTGCTGCAACATTGCAGTATCATCGGCATTGAGCCAGCCCACTGGCCATTGGAAAGGGGCAGACGGATAGATAGTCCTTATGGAAGCCATAGAAAATGCTGTTTGGTATTTGTTTTTGGGCCTGAATAATTGCATCATCGTTGGCACCACAAAGCTGACACTTTGTGCTAGTTAAAAAAGTTCAAAAAGCACACAGATTCAGATACAAAGTCTAAGCTAGTGAAATAGTAATGATTAACAAACAAAATGTGGCAATTGTGCAAAGGATAGAATAAATTAAGGGTTCAAAAACCCTTACGATCCGTCAACAATCCGTTGGTTTCGGTTTCGGTTGCATCACACACATAGTGCATATATATACCATATATATCTCGACACCTTGCATTATCGCGCTTGCTTACTTTTCAGTTTTCTGTTTTCCGTTTTCAGCTTTCAGTTTTAACTACCGCAAATGCCACGCAACTGGGAAAAGAGCAAAGTCGCCCACTCTCAACTCTTAACCTTTAAAACCCAGGCAACCGCACATCATCTATATATATATATGTTTGTATATATGTGTGTACAATACGCACCACGCACTTTAAAAGGGCAAAAACAAATCAAGCATCCGCCGCGTGGGCGTCGCCCCCAAGTTCACAGTTCACATGACATACACATCATCATTGTTCAGTTCAGTTCAGTTTGGTTCAGCTCATCATCATGATGATGATGATGATGATGAGTGTAACCTGCACTGGAGGTTGAAATAATATTGCGAGATACACTCCACCCACTCGTTTAATGAGTTAATTTATTTGGCAAAATTTACATACTGTATCAGGTATCAAAGGGTTTTCGCTTTCGGTCAAATGTGTTTGGGGGTTAAGAAGGCGGCTTTTGGCTTTGGTTTGTGCAGGTATTATTATTTAGGCAATGGGAATCTGAATCCCAATCCGAAAGAGTAACAAATGCCACAAAATTGTGTCTCTTAATTGGGTTGACTTGAAGGCATAATTGCTGAATTGCAAATCTATTTTACTTGGGCTCAACTACTCAACAATGCTTGGCCATTTTCTATTCTTTCACAAATAGTTTCTTCACAATATTTGTGGCAAATGTAAATGCAAAATGCTTTTGAATAGTTTATGCGTTCAGAAGGCATCATCTGCTACATTCAAAGTGTTCATTTAATCGTTATTTATGCCCAAATACGTTAAAACCTTCGGTTTAACGGAGGAAAAAGATTTACATTCGAAATACCGGACACGCTTACTTACGAGTGGGGTTTTTTCGTACCAGATCTCATATTGAGTGGCTGTATTTAAAAATAGAAACAGGTAGCCGCTGAGTAAGACGGTTAAAATGCAATGCCCCCACTTGGAATAGTATTTATTGGATAAACGGAACTACTATACTGAGTTTCGTACTTCGTATATCACAGGTTGTATTTATTGGATTTCTGGTAATACCATTGATTTCTTCACAAACTACCTCATAACTGGCTAATTTATCGCTCCCTCTCTGCCACCATGTAAGATCACTGGTTATAAACACTATTTTTCTCTGTAACACCATTCATTTCCCGACTGACGACGACGGGGGGTTAGGTAAAAATTTTTATATAAAGACCATGTTAAGCAACGCGTTAGCTAGACTAATCTCAGTAGCTCTTTAATTAAGGTCACTGGTAGTAGCAATTAGATCTAATCTAATACCAACTAAATAACTAGTCAGAAATAATATAAAAATACTAAACGGTAGGTGGTAACCCTAGTATATACTAGAAAATACCAACAAATCTGGCTTTTAGATTTTTCATGGGTAGAAATGAAATAAATGGTTACAAAGTGAGGGATCCCTGGGATCTAATATAATACCAAGAACTAGTCAGAAATAATATAAAAATACTAAACGGTAGGTGGTAACCCTAGTATGTACTAGAAAATTCCATTTAAAGTTTATGATAGGATAATCATTTAGCAATTCTCACCTGGGCAGATTCTGGAGGTAACGCATCTGTTTCTCGCGTCGCAGCTCGTCGGTCAGTCGGCAGTAGGTGTTGTTGATGCAGACGCTCCTCCGGAGATTCGCCTCCGAGTCCTTGATCCTCTCCAGCTTGTGGGCGCAGAGCTGGAGGATTCGCTTGCGCTCCTCGCGCTGCCGCAGCTTCGGGGAGATCATGGGCACTCGGGATCGATGGTGATGGTAGCCGATGGGCGGGGAGCAGCGGGGTGGACCAAACATGTCTGAATCTTCGTCGCTGCTGCTGTTGTTGTTGTTGTTGTGATTATGGTTGTTGTTGTTGTTGCCGCTGCCGGCGTCGTTTGCAGATGCGTGTGTGTTTGTGGGCAAGGTCATTGTGCGTTTTTCAAAGAGCAAAAGCAAGCGTGTATTTTATGTGCTTTTGTTTTTGTCCGTTTGTTTGTTTGTCTTTGATTTAGCTGCAGCCTTCCTGGAGAGAAGAAAACAACTCTGCTGTCTGCTGAATTTGATTTTCAATTTGATTTTGATTTCTTTTTTTTGATTGAATATTGTTTTTTTTTTTTTCAATAAATCATTTGAAACAAGGAAGTCCGCACACTCGCACACACACACACGCTCTCTTTCTCAGAGCTCTTTTTTTGCTCTCTTGCACTTGCTGCTGCTGCTGCTTCTTCTTCTTCTGTCTGCCTTTGCTTTTGCTGTCTTTACTTTTTGCCTGAGATTTCACTTGGCTGTTTACCGTTAGTCGGGGGGCTGCCGCTCTTTTATGTTCTTTGTTGTTGTTGTCGTTGCCAAAATTAAAATTCAAAATAATCCAGGACTTTTGAATTTTCGAGTTTCTCAATAACAAATTGTCACGTTAAAACACAATAAAAAAATTCAACAAAAATTGCCAAGTTTGTTTGTTTGTTTCGGGTCTTTTAGGCACACAATTGACTCAAAATTGCAGAGGGGCGGGGCGGGGGTCTCACATTTAATTGTTTTTATTATTAGTGGTCTTTTTTCTTTTCGGTGGCCGCCTGTTGAGGGTTAAAGGTGAGGGGGTGAGGCGACGGCGGCGGCGAGAGCGTAAGAGAAGTTGGTGCTGTCGCAGTCGCTGTTCAGTTCACCGTTGCTTTCCGATTTCTGTTCAGTTTGGTTTCTGTTTCTGTTTCTGCTCTGTTCAACCGCACACGTCCGCACGGTTCTCGCGTTCGAAACGAAATGAAAAACGCGAAATGAAAAACGCAAACGCTGAATGAAAGACGTTCGTTCGCAGTCGCCGCCGGCGTCGGCAGTGGCAGCGGCAGAGCAGAGCGCACAGATGTTCGCCGTTGAAACGGAAGTGACTTAAGAGAGCGCCTAAGAGCGCGAGAGAGCCACTGGCCTACGTGCGTACTGTGTATATTGTATGTACGCACAGCTGCGGGAAAAATAATAGCAATTTAGTTTTGATTTCAAGGAATATATTTAGATCTATTTAACACATTTTCGGGATTATAAGAAATTGCTTAAAGTACTAAAATGATTGTGAAAATATTTAAACTAAACTTCAAGATTTTCAGTACTATTTCTTTAGCTCCGACTGTTCCAATATATGTACGTATGTTTCGCCAAGATTTTTACTCATTTGTAACGGAAGCAAAACGCTGGTCAGTGGGTGGTGTGTTTGTGTTGTTGTGGGTGGCTGGGTGGTTGGGCGGTGGGCGGTTGGGTGGTGATGGTGAGCATAATCCGCATAGTTGTTGCTGCCTCTTTATTATGTAAAATAAAAAAAGTGACTTTGGCTGGATTTGAAAATGCAAAATACTTCCTAGGGCAATCATCCTCACTTGAGGTAATTACTAATTAAGAGATCCGATCCACACGAATCAAATGGAATAATTCATATCCATGGAAATGCCAAATCAAGCGTGAGGTTAAGTGGGTGTCTTCTCAAAAACGTAGTAATAGATATCATAAATGAGAGGGGAAAACCCTAGATATGTAGGTATTATTGTTATGCCGATGAAGAGTTTTGAGTGAGTATAGATCTTTTTATGTATATTTAAATTCAAGGTAGATCATTTTCCTGCAATCAATTTTTTTACCCAATCTTTCATAGAGGACTCATTCAAGAAATTAGAACTTAACACCCTTTCCCAAAACAAGTTCAATTCAATTTACAGTTTTAGAGTGATCCACAACAACAACAACAACAACAACAAGGGATACAAATCATCATAACAACAACAATAATTGTGAGGTCAGTTTTGGCCACTCATCGGTGTGTGTGATTATGTGTGTACTTATGTTTGTGTGCGAGCACAAAGAGACAATGCAAATTTGCACACAAACAAAGAGAGTGCGAGTGCGAGAGAGAGGGGAGAGTTCATGAGCGTGCGTGGGGGTGGGTGGAAAAGGGGGAGGGGTATGCCATGAGTGGGGGGATCTTTGTTTATCATTTTTGTGTACTATTATTAAGGCGCCGATGACGATGGCGATGACGTCTGCTGTTGTTTTTGCTGTTCACAATGACGAAACAAATGTTTGCCTGTGTTTGTGCAAAATGTTTAGCGTAGATAAAAAAAAAATAAAGTAAAGTTCTTGCTATTGTTTATTCATATATTTGAAATTCCCCGAAACAAAAGCTCTCGCAATGGCGATGATTCACACGATTGCCAGAGGCTGCGGGGAAAAACATCAAGAACTTTATCAGCTAATTGTGTCACAAGTGGACAAATGAGCTCGAAACCTTTTCTTTTGAGCATTTCTCGGGAAAGTGCTATCAATATTCAGAGCTCTCTTTCTTGGTATTACAATTACATAGAATTTATTACTTTTATATCCGAGCAAGAAGTTTTTTAGGCAATTTTTAATCGGAGTTGATTTTATTTTAGATGGAAATTACTTTTTATTTTCTAGGAATATTTTTTGAAACGAAGACTAAATTCATTTAGTTTTTTATCTGGTCGATATTTGATTTGCCCATCTCTATAATTACTTTTATATCTGAGCAAGACGTTTTTAAGACATTATTTAATCGAAATTATTTTTATTTTAGATGGAAATTACTTTTTATTTTCTACGATTTATTTTCGAAACGATGACTAAATTCGTTTAGTTTTTTATCTTGTCGATACTTGACTTGCCCATCTCTATGTTTCATCATATTTATGATAAACCATTTTGATTTCTTTCATTCCTCTTCCCCGCTCATTCGCTGCACTTCCATTTCCATTTCGATTTCCACACGTTTGGCGCTCTTTTGCATTTTCTTCAAGTCGCCCAAGATAAATTCGGAATTACGTAATTAAGCGGCAACAATGACAACAACAACAAGCTAACAATTAAGTATTTATTGCTTTCAATTTGCTGCCCGATAACAGAAGAACCCAAAAAAAAGCAGGGAGACTGGAAAAAACAAGCAGAACAACCCATTCCTGTGGAAAATATGATATTTTCATGAGGTTTCTCCATACAAGCGGAAGGGACTAAACCTCATTTACCCCTTACATTTCTTCCGTCTCTGGTTTCAAAATACACGGGGGTGACACAAAAAGTAAGGGGGAAATGAGGTTTCTATGTGGTTTTCCTAGGGAATTTACATTTTCCCTACACCGTCGCCTGCTGAAAGATACAGGATTTCCAACACTTTCTGCTAAAAGGAACAGGATTTTCAGCACACAAAGAACCACCTTCTCACTTTCCCGGTGGGAAAGTAAATAAAAACCGATGCGGACACACACACACACACGCACACGGCTACCTGCGGCGGGCAGCGCATCAGCGGCGACGTCGGCAGCGAAATCAGCGCCCCGCTTTATTTTGTTTGAACTTCAAGATGTTTTTAGTGTATTGCCTTTAATTCTTTAGCACGCGCTTTTTTTGGCTTTGATTTCATTTCGATTCGCAGGTAAACGTAAATCACACAGCGCGAAAAGCGGGGGAAGTGAAAACGAAATGAAATTGCATTTGAAAAGAGGAAGAGCAGCCCGCTTTAATTTTAATTATCAATAACATATTCAAATGCCCTCTTGCTCTCCCGCTGCCCGCTCCCCGTCCCTCATCCAGCTGGCGCTCTCTCTTTCCGCCACTCTCTTCGACGACGCCACGCGCTCTCTTCGACTCCAGCCGCGTGTGAATGAACGTATAAAAAGTGAGAGCGTCGCCTGCCCGACTCATAAACGAAAATCAATGACTCCCAATGCGCGTACCCCTCGGAGGCCCCCGTTTTTTGGTTTGGGTTTGGGTTGGGGTTGGGGTTTTGGTTTCGGTTTTGGCTTTGGAGTGATAAATGCCGCCTTGGCGTCGTCAGCAGATTTTCAGCCTGCGCATGTTTGTCGGCCCGCAAACACTCACAAACACACACAGGCAGCACATCCCATTATGTTTGTTGATTTGGCTGCATTTAAGCAATAGACTTTTAGTCGTTTCAACTCTATTTCCTCTGGATTTCATCTGTCTAGCAGAAAGCAAAAAAAAATAACCATAAATATGCACTAACATACAGACATTTGCCATTTTTACCCAAGGTGGTTGTTGTTTTTTGCACTTGAACACATGTTTGTGTGAGTATTTATAATTTGGTCAAGCGAGCAACAAGAAAAAAAGGGTAATGAAAGGATCAGAGGCATGCACAGAAAAAAATGCCTATTAATTTCACTTGACTATTTGGGAATTCCAATGAAATAGGCATTAAAATTAAAAATTACGAAGATCAAAATGAACTCAAAGTGACATGACATATCCTTCGGCCTTTTTAGTGTTGCCATCATTTGCATTTCTCTTCGCCTCTGCTTTGTCTCCTACTTTTTTTTTGCCTGCGAGAGAGCGACTCTTTTTGGTCTCTTTGTGTTTTTATGCTTTCAACATTGATACGTGCCACTTTACTTTTCGCATACAGACAAAGCGGGAGGGAGAGAGGAGGAAGGAGGAGGAAAAAGGAAGTACCAGAAGACAGGGGCAGGGGAGGGGGGCTGGCAACGTGTGGGGACAGCTGGGTGAGTTTGTAATTAATTGCGGCCTTGCTTCCCCCTCTACCCTCTCCCTCTCCCAAACTCTCTCGCTGAGAAAGCAGCCGCCAACAGTTTGTTTTCTTTTCTCCCCACTCTCTTCGGGATTTCCGTCTCACCGGGGGGATGGAGAGAGGGGATGGGTGGGGGCTAGTCAAGAGGGTGGGCCATCGGCCTACTCTTTGTCTAGTCGCCAATCCTCTCGCACTCCATTCCATTCATCCTCACAAACTGTACAGTGGGCTCTCCTTAAACCGGAACAGCAGCTCTTTAAAAATGTGAAAATTTAATACTTACAGAGGTTATTCTTTAGTTTTTAGTATTATTTTTGTATAGCACTTCTCAAGCCTGCATTGACATACAAAAACATAAAAAACCTTTACTTTAGTGACCACTGTACTTGCCAGTAGCCCGAAAACGGACAGTGGCAGAGGCGTCGACGTCGGCAGAGCAGAGAAAGCGCGCTAGTTACAGTTACAGTTACGTTACAGAGGGCCAAAGACAATGCTAAGCTCGGTTAACGGTAATTACAGTGTATGGTGGGTACGAAGAAGGGGCGTGGAATGAGGGGAGGACAAGGGAGTAGGCAGGTATTTTCAAGGGGTAATTAAAAAATGTGTATGTTCC